TGTGATGTTTAAAAAAATCTCATGTTGCGTGTAATTGTTACATCTAATTTTAGTTTAAATATAATTAAAAAGGTTATTAACAATATAAAAAGTTACGGAGTTCGGCCGTAACACAGTATCACAACTTACACGCGGTGTGGCGGCTAAAGCGTGCCGGGCGGGCAGGATACCTTTGCTATCTGGGTACTAATGGTTATTATTTATCTAGACTCAAATGAAGTACCCCGTCTTGCCCCACTCTCCCCTAATCTTCAGTCTTCTGAATCAAAGCATCCACATTAAGATAATCAATTTTTCAAGTTTCCGACTATCTGTATAAAAGAGATAATTCGAAAAGAGGATCAGGTACGATAGATTTATCGGTTTGAAAATTTGGAATCTGGAGCGGTACATTTCAGAATAACCTGCCCACCTCTGAGGAAACCTGTAATTACAAAAGTTTAAATGCGTTTTTCTCGATACGGCGTTTTTAAATCGGTGGACAATCTGGCTTGAACAGTTTTGATCGGATTGACTTCGGCCAAAGTGTTTTTAGTTCGTCATTTACCCACACAGCACCAAAACTTTTCTGAAAATTTATTAAAGATTTACTTGCAAACTTTAGTGGAAATTGTGTAAAGATTCAAATGTCCCACTTAAATAAATGTTTATAGTCAAATTTTCCTAAAAATTTAACTTAAAACTTTCCTGAACATTTAAATTAAATTTTCGACTTCTCTCTTATAAGCGAAAATGTAACCTAAAACTTTCCTGTAAATTAAAATTAAATTTTCGCCTATATACAGTAGGCGAAATTTTTTTTTAAATTTTCAGGAAAGTTTCACGCTAAACAATTAAATCTTTACAACATTTTCACTAAACTTTTCAAGTAAATACTTCGAAGTTTGCAAGTAAATCTTTAATAAATTTTTAGGAAAGTTTCAGTGCTGTGTGGGTACGCTTTAGAGTACGTAGCGGATTTTTTTTTGGTTTGTTTGTTTATTTTTAGCAATAGATTTTTTTAAAAATTTTCGCCCAAAAAATCGACTTTTCTTTTCAAACAGATGCCAGATACACAAAAATTAATATTTTCACCCTTTCACTCCCAATGGTCGATATATCGACCACCTTTTAAGCCACCGACTTTTTTAACATAACTTAAAGGAAAACTTTAAATAATTGCATATTTCTTTTTTATATTTCTACAAATAGGGTTTAGTAATTTTTAACAAATTAATCTATATTATTTATGTTTTTTTGTTATTAACAAACTTATACGCGGCAACGCATTATTTCAGGTTAAACTTGACTGTAAAAAAATGTAAATTAGTAACATATACTTTAAATTATGGTTGTTTTCTACATTCTCAGGGTTTGCTGAATATTAATCTAAAATCAGATATGCAAATTCAAAATGGTGGATCCAATATGGCGGACAAAAATTAAAAATTAAACAAATTTGCTTGAAAATGGTCTCTCGGGGGTTTTTGGGGTCACTAATTACGAATCTTAAGTCAGTTTTTAATAATCAAAATGTCGGATCCAATATGGCAGCCAAAAATTAAAAATTAATCAAATTTGCTTGAAAATTGTCTCTCGGGGTTTTTGGGGTCGCTGATAACGAATCTAAAGTTAGTTTTTAAAAATTTAAAATAGTGGTTCCATAAATCCATATGGTCGACATAAAAAGTTACGAATTGGGAAACTTTTCTTTTTCAAAAAAGGCTTGGGACTGGCAATGGCAGAGTTTCATTTTTTTTTAATTAAAAAATTTTTTTTTGCTTTGTTTAAAAATGTTTTTAATGTTTTTATTTTAAATTTTTAATACTTTCATTAATTTTTTTATTTTTTAAATATTTTTATATTTGTCGTAACAAACGACAAAGGACAAGTGACGAAACATAAAAGACGAACGACAAAAAAACAAAAGACAATCGAGAGAAAACAAAGAGAAAATGACAAACGTCAAAAAAACAGTACTTCTCTCCTATTTTTAATATTATTGTTGTTATAGTCGTAACATTAGATTCGCCATTTAAAAATTTTGTAAGAATGATTCCAGATTTGCATTTACACACCCCTCAAACTTCCAAGAAGCAGCATTCAGTCCTATATTGTCAATTTTTAATTTTTGACTATCATATTGTATCCATTATTTTAAAGTTAGAAAAACTGACTTTAGATTCGTAACCAGTGATCTAGAAAAAACCTAAGCGGTAATTTTCAAACAAATTTGATGGATTGTTTATTTCTTTGTCCAACATATTGAATCCTCCATTTTCAATTTCAATAAACTGACTTCAGATTCGGAATCAGCGACTTCAAAAACCTCCAAATGCCAACTTTTAAGCAAATTTGTTTCATTTTTAAATTTTGTCCGCCATATTGGATCCGCCATTTTGATTTTTGACAAACTGACTCCAGATTTGTAATCAGCGATCCCAAAACCCCCGACAGACTATTTTCAAGTAAATTTGATTAATAATGTATTATCGTCCCCCATATTGGATCCGCCATTTTAAATTTTGCAAAACTGACTTTAGATTCGTAATCAGCGACCCCAAAAACCCTCTAGTGACAACTTTCAAGTAAATTTGTTTAATTTTTAATTTTTGTCCGCCATATTGGATCCGCCATTTTGAATCTTGAAAAACTGACTCCAGATTCGTAATCAGCGTCCCCAAAAAACCCCTAGTGACAACTTTCAAGTAAAATTAAATAATTTTTAATTTTATAGTCCGCTATTTTAAATTTTCAATATTTTGAAAATTTGATTCCAGATTCGTAATCAGCGACCCCGAAAACCATAGGTACTATACCTATTGTAGATATTTTTTAATTGGCCTAATTATGGGACTGAAAGGGTTAAAATATTAAAATATTAACGAGACCAACTTTGGCGCCCTCTATAGACAACAATTTGAAACTTTTTAAGTATAAATATATTTTCGTAAACTTAAAAAGTTAACAAATGAAGCCCTCGAAACCAAATTTTGTTTACTTTATTCCTGAGTCTTAAAAAAATTTATGAAAAACAGGTTCAAAATACACCTCAAAGGTGTCACTCCCCCTTAATAGATTGTTGGGTCGCTGATTACAACGATTTTTGAAAATTCAAAATAGCTGATCCAATATGGCGGATAGTTTTTGAAAAAGATTTTAATTCACCAGATTCTTTTGATAATTGTTACTCGGGGGTTTTCGGGGTCGCTGATTTTTAATCTGACATTAGATTTTCAAAATTCAAAATATCGAATCCAATATGGCGGTAGAAAATTTAAGAAGTTGTTTTAAGCTTCTGGAAACCTGGTTAGCCTTTGTAAAGTAGTAATATTTCTTGTGAACTGACAGATAACACTACTGAGTTTTTAGCGGACGAATGTGAGCAGGTAAATTTTGAATATTCAAAATGAAAATATTCAGAATGGATTTGTAATAAGAGATCACAGAAACCCCCATATAATAACTAGTTTTAAGTAAATCCGATATATTTTAAAAAAAAATTTTCTCCATATTGGGTCCAACATTTTGAATTTTGAAAATCTGATGCCAGATTCGTAATCAGCGACACCGAAAACCCCCGAGTAATGATTTTCATAAGTTGATTTCATAAACTTTTTAATTAAATGCGCATTATCCACTTATTGAAAAACTTGTTTGCTTAACTAACATTAAAAGTTATGTAACTTTGACGAAAATTTTTTTTATCATTATAAACCAATATTTTTGGAAAACTTAGAGCATTAGCTTTATCTTCCACTTTAGATTATGTAATTCTGATGTATTGTTGACGAGTTATAAAATATTTAGTTACCGCGAGTATACTCAGGGTTGTCCGTTTTGGAACAGTTACGCTTTTGGTGCGCTGAATCCGAAAGTGGCAACGAAGACCTTCCATCACGTCAGGATTTTGAGAAAAGTGTGGGTAAAAGTCCCGAAAATCACGTTTTTGTCAGTTTTTAAAAATTTCTGACGGGTAAATCCGACGTGTCAGAGACTTCGTCATAGGAGCTAAAAATTATGTCAGTCGTTGCTTATGTTACGTCAGAGTTTAGAGAAGAAAATCATTCGACTTCTACGCTTGTTAAAAAAAAGGTTTCAAAAGTCCTCTGCATCTGAAGACGTTGAATTTAAAGAAATCATAACTTCTGTAATTTTGATCAAATAAAAAATTTTAAAAACAGGTATTTACTTACACAGCTACACAAAAAAATAAAAGCACCCTGGCCGAAGAATGAGACCACCCTTATCTTATGTATTTTGATGCGGTGAACACGAATCTGAAGTCCGTTTTGCTCCATCACGTCAGGATTTTGACATAACCTCAAAAAACAGCGGATTTTAAATGACAGGAGAACTTTTTTAAATAATGACAAATTTGCTTGAATCTTATTACTCGGAGGTTTTTGGGGTCGCTGATTACGAATTTAACGTCAGATTTATAAAATTCAAAATGGCGAACGAATTTTTAAAAATAGTTGGATTTTTACAAAAATTCGTATCTATAAAATCTGACGTTAAATTCGTAATCAGCGACACCAAAAACACCCAGATACTAATTTTCGTAAAATTTCAACTATTTTTTTAAAATTCGTCCGCCATATTGGATCCGCCATTTTGAAGTTCATAAATCTGACGTTAAATTCGTAATCAGCGACCCCAAAAACCCCTAAGTAATTAGATTCAAGCAAATCTGTCATGATTTAAAAAAGTTCTCCTGTCACTTAAAATACGATGTTTTTTGAGGTTATGTCAAAATCTTGACGTGATGGAGCAAAACGGACTTCAGATTCGTGTTCAGGGCATCAAAATACATAAGGAAAGGGTGGTCTCGTTCCTCGGCCAGGGTACTTTTATTTTTTTGTGTGGCTGTGTTATTTTTCATATAGAAATCGAAAAAAATTGTTTTAATAAAAAAATGTTGAGTGGAAATTTTACGGAGAATTCCCCCAAATGTATTTTTTTTATTTCAATGTTTGCATGGTATTTATAATAGGTATTAAAAGAACAAAACAACTTACCTAAATTTCCTGAAGATGATTTGTTTAAACCTCTAAGTATGTACAAAGGCGTTGAATCGCTATCAAAATCAGTCAGTCTATCAACTTCAGGCATCAAAAACCATTCTGATCTAGTTTTCATGCGGGCTGTTTGCCTTTCATGTACCTGTAATAAGTTGTCGAATAAATTTAAATGAAATTATTTTCTAATAAAAGTGCATGTGCAGATTCCTATTGTTACAAAATTAATATTTCTAATTTTTATTTACACAGTTAAATGCAGCTTTTCTTCACTCGTCGAATGATCTTAATTTTGTCAAAAATGGGACAAGTAAGTTTTTCCTTAACACAGCACATCTTCCGTCCAAATGAAGAAGATACGTAGCTCCATTTTGTCGCTTAGGCCAAAATTTCTATAGTATAAACATCCGAAAAACACCTAAACAAGAATGGCGCTTATGTATCTTCCTCTTTTAGAAGGCAGAAATACTGAGGGAGTAAACGTAGTTTCAAGAATATTTTAGGAATTGTGAGTTTCTCGCTAAAAACAAAATGAAGATTAACTTTAATCACTTTTAATAGGGATATTTTTCCTGCAATATACATGTAAAAATAAGCAAGTAAGAAAATGTTTAGATCTTTAGGTAAAAAACTATGAGCGCAGGGATTATCAAGAAATGGATCAAAAATTTAAAGTATTTCCCAAAAAACTATAATGAACAACTCCCCAGCAATGCTGTTACACATCAGTTACAAAACTGTTACAAATAATTTAAGGAAATGTTCTGCATCTGGTGACTTACAGGGGATTCACTGAGTTCGAAAATGTACTCAGTGGTATTAAGAGCAGGCATTATTCCTAATCCTACTAATCAAAAGAGTAACTCTATTCAGATCCTAGCATGAGTTCTAATAATAAATGTTTATGTTAAAGATTTAAAAAAAAGTTTTTTTAATAATTTGTTCTACACAAATAAAGAAAAATGTACTTTTATAGAAATCTAATAGTATAGCTGGTTGCAGTCTTACTCATTGTACACTTATTAACGATTATATCTCCAAAATTGTAAGTAAATTCAATTGTGTTAAATTATACTAGCAAATAGGTTAGTAGGTTTCTAATAGTATATTAAGCAACAAGGGGACAAAGGCAGAAGTTTCCGTGTTACTTACGATATTTGTTTTCCTAATGCACAAAAGTGACGATACGGTCGAACAAATGAATGACTTTACTTCCTGTAGTCAGCTATCTAAAAGCTCCATAACATTAACATCGACAAAACGTGATAAGAAACCTAACACTATCTACAGTAAAAACCTGGTACCAGCAAACACGTTCTATAAGTATTCCATAACAGTGAGGTCACAGTGTTATAGAACATCTGTTCCTAACAAGTTACAGATCTGTTATATAATCTGATTGTAACAGAGTTCTAGAACATAGTTACAAGATAGTTACAAAATAGTTCTGTATTATGCGTATGCCAAAGTTCTATCACAATGTGATGTTAGAGTTATATAACTCTAATGTCACAAATTTTTTGTAACTGTTGTTCCAATCTTATTCTATAACTGTGTAGGAACATTGTTATGTAACTGTTGTAAACTTCTGTTGCAATTCAGTTCTGTAATATAATTGTAATTACAATTAAGAACATTTCTGTAACAATGTTACGTGTCAATTCTATAATACCAAAGTCACAAATGATCTACTATAACTATCGTTCTAACCTAGTTCTAAAAATATTTTGGAACAGTGTTAAAGTCTTTTAATATTAGGGGAAAGGTGTACGAGATGATCCCCCTAAGGGAAAAAATATATTATTCAAAGAAAAATAAAGATTTTCGAGTTTTTTTTGTACGCACTACTAAATAATTAATCTATCTAACTATTCGGATTTGAAATATATGCAGCTAATTAATATTTTACTATTAAATTTAATTTTTTTAAAACCTTACAAAAGGATCATCTTGGACACCGGGGTGTACAAGATGATCCGTAGGGTTATCTTGCCCCAATTATTGGAAAAAGAGTCTAAATTGAAGGAATAACAGTCTAAATTGAAGGAATAACAGTGTTACTCCATAATACCAATCTGAACACTTAATTGAAGATATACTGAAGCCGTGAGTATAAGAAATATGGAATTTAAGCTACTACAACAAAAGTTATCTAAGCCCAAAGTTAAGCTTTCCTTAGATCAAAAGTATGAAATTTTTATTTTTTCCAATAGAATTTTTCTAATCACGCGTGTTGTTATAACACTTTTACTGATTCATAAGTATGTCATGAGCAACGTATTACCGCATTTGCCTAAAAGGTGACGCTAATAGGCTCTCCAAAATTCAAAAGGATCATCTCGTACACCTTTCCCCTATATATCTTCTGCCTATATTACAAAAATATATCGCTGTCGCCGCTGTTTTAAGATTTTCTGACATAAAGGTCAAGAGTTGACCTGTAGCTTATCTGCCCTCAAAATTTAGGTCAATTTTAAGCGTAGTTTTGACTTAAACGTCAAAAATTGACAAACTAATCCCTCTGCCCTAAAAATTTAGGTTAATTTTAAGGGCAGTTTTAACCTACAGGTAAAAAATTGACAAACAATTCCCTCTGCCCTTAAAATGTAGGTCAATTTTAAGGGCCGTTTTGACCTAAACGGCAAAAATTGACAAACAATTCCCTCTGCCCTCAAAATGTAGGTCAATTTTAGGGACAGTTTTGACCTACACGTCAAAAAATGACAAAAAATTCCTTCTGGCCTACTATTCTTTCAAAATTTAGGTCAATTTAAAGAGCAGTTTTGACCTACGGGTATAAATAAGGCCCACAAGAGTCTATTACATTAGGTCGAAATCTTCATGTAATTTGACATTTTCTTTTACTTACAGGTCATAAACGGCCAAATAATGGCCGTTACATTACGTCAACATTTATGTCAGATTTGACGTATTTTTAAAACTGCAGGTAAGGGGGCGTCCATAAATCACGTGACTCAAAATAGGGGGTGGGGGGTAGGAAAATTATCACGGTTGATCACCTGGGGGGTAGGGGGTCAGAAATTGACCGAAAACCAGTCACGTGATTTATGGACGTCTCCTAATAAGGGGCCCAATAATGCCTTTGGCACTGAGAAAAAAGAATAATCAAATTTACTATGAGGAGTGTCAAACTTGAAAAAGTTGACACTCTTCTGTTTAGATCTTAACCTGAGGAGTGTTAAATTTACATTCCTCATATATTATGAGGAATGTAAATTTAACACAAAAAAAAAAAAAAAAAAAAATTATTAATGATAATTAAACTTATTGTTTAATTATCATTAATAATTTTCCATTTTTCTTCGTGGATGATACGTCAAAATCTATGTCAAATTTGACCAATTTTTTTACCTGTAGGTATAAAGAAGGACCTATAAGAGCACCATAAATAATCACACCACTATAATCATGTCCGTAAAGTAGAATTCTCTTTTAGTGCTCTCTTTTAATATCTCCTGCTATAACTTACTCTAACTTATTACAATTTATTTGTTTATACACCTGTCTTCAGCCTTACATACTTGGCTATACAAGTGTCCCCGAGTCGAACTTTTAGACCTGCTTACCTCCTTAAAACTGAGGGTTTGTAAGGATGTAATAGGATGAAAGCAGAGTTTATTTGCATTGCAAGTTAACTCTGATTACCTCCTGCAAACCCCTGGTTAGCGACAAATTTAGATGGTAAAAGGAGGAAAGCAGGTGTTCCTAGAACCTTATTAAATACTGCTTGACCCTTACTTACAGAATTCTTTCCTCTCCCAAAACCCTGGAAAAACTGCTCATAGCATATTTGAGATCATTTTTAACTAATTTTTATAACTTTAATTATTAATAAATGGCATTATTATTTAATGATTTTTAATTTTTTTTAATTTAATCGTGACTAATAGCGAATTCATAAATAATGTTAGTATATATGTGGGGATTAATACATATCCATTTATATATAAAAAAAAATTTTTAAATTAAATATTTGTTAATTAAATTATTTAACGGTGTATATAATCATTAAATTGCATACTTATAACTATACAATACAGAAAAATCAGAATAAACGCAAACCTACGAAATAAATAAAATCTAACGCACGCGAGACTTGAACCTACGACCTACGAACTACGGACTACGAAACTAACGCCCTAACCACTATGCTACGGAACCTAACTGAACACAGACGCTCTATTTTCAGTGACTTGTTGAGTGATTCAATAAAGCATTAATTGACACTAATACACTACAGCAAATAAATAAATTGTTTAATAATAATAACCTTTAAACATTCATAAATTAATATTTTATTATTTAAAAAAAATGTCAAAACATTTCAGTTAAAAATAATATTTATAAATTAATAATAAAAAAGTACATTTTTCGGTAACCTATTCGCAGTTAATTTTTTTTTAATTTTTTTTTTTCAAATATTTTCAATATTAAAATTAATGTATTGAAAATCTTCGAATTGTTGCAAAGAATTAAATCCTAATTAAATTTTTTTGAAAAATTTCTTTGAATTTTTTTTTAAACTAATGGAGTTTCTTTAATAATTTTAATTGAAAATTTCGAAAGCAATTGCATTTTATGAAGAAGAATTTTATTAAAATTGTATTGAAAATAATTGATTTCTTGCGAAGAACTTTACTATTTATCAAAATAATTGAAAGGTTTCGAAGAATTTATTAAAATTTTAAGAAATAATTAAATTGTTATGAAGAATTTTATAGAAATATTTAAAAATCATGAAATTTTTTCAAAAAATTCAATTAAAGTTATTTCGAAAATAATTGAATTTCTTTAAAGAATTTTATTAAAATTAAGTATATTCAAAATAATTGAATTACTTTTTGGAAATAATATTCTTTCAATTCTTTTGACGAATATATTTAAAAATTGCATTGAGATATCTAGTAATTTAATTTTTATATAGAATTTTTTTAAAATATTTTGAAAATAATTAAATTGTTTTTAGAGAATTTTAAATTCTTGTTGAAATTAAATTTTATGGAAAGTTTTAAAAATAATTAAATTCTTTCGTTTAATTTTATTTTAATTGGATTAATGATTATTTAATTCCTGCAAAGAATTTTAGTATTTATAAAAATAGTTGAATTATTTCGAATAATTTAT